TGGGCAGCGACGTTAGGCTACTCTTTTCGATTTCCAACGGCCAAGAGATTTTTTTACGTGCGTAACAATGCACACGGGCGTCCGACCTCACTCACAAGAAATCAAGGGGGAATTACTAGAAGTCTGAGTGACAAAAATCCCATCCCTTATGGAGAATTGAACCCGGCACCTCTAGCACCCGAGGCGGACACGCCCCCTTATACATATGGGAATTATGGGGAATCACAGCCCATGCCTGTGGCGACTGTGACTAACGAAGCCAGCTTGTGTTAAGATAAATCTTCCAGAATCAGTGTATGCTGTTTCGAGATCATTGTTACCATCACATCTCTCTGACAAATTTTGTTTTCTCCCCAAACGTTATTTCCTTCTGTCTCTATTCCTTCCCTTATTTTCCTACTGCTTGCACTGAGAGCAATTGCACCCTGCTCCCATGAATCCAAAACATTACCTGTATCCTTCATGTCCCGCTTTCACGCCAAGGAAAATTCGGATAATAATAATAATAATAATAATAATAATGTCGGCGTCATTGGTTTAGACAAGCGGGCATCGTAATTCCGGAGTGTTGCATTCAATTCCAGCTGCGGGCGATTTAACAACAGGCCGCCTTGCGTTGGTTTCGACAGTTGTGTCGAGAGCCGACCATGTAGGTGTAATGGCAAACTACTAAACATAATATTGCCTAATGAAATCACAGACAACCAAAATTTAGTATCTTGATGATTCTGCGACGCTCTATAAAGGATACACAGCTAACTTAATGATAATATTAATAAAAACAACAATAATAACAATAATATTAAAATAACCCACGATTTTACATAGATTGGCTTTAGGCCTAGGCTCCATTAGAAGATAAAATACAGACGAAGCCTCATTAGTCTGAATATTTATAAGAGCTTTGTTTACGATGTTTTCATAAAACATGAAAGCAACACGAAACGTTCAAAAACAGAAAGTTCTGCTTACGACAATTCAAACAAAGATATCGTTACTGAATACATAATTTAAAACAATCCCAAGTGGCAAACGGAGTTAGGAACCAAACACTCGCATGATCTGCTTGCAGACATCGCCTTCGTATTCTCTGTGTAGGTTAAATGTTGAATGTTGAGTTAGGAATCGACATCACGGCACTCGGGATACTGCCATAAGCGCTCCGTCCCCCTTCAGCAGCAAGCGCAGAGTTAAAATTCGGATGGTACCAGTAACAGTCTGATTGTATATACGTCTCGCCCCTCCTCCGAGTTTCAAGCGTCGGCCAGAACCTCTTGTAACTCCTCGCAGTGCCATTCTACTCAGACCGTAATGATATATCTGTTCCTCGGCACTGTTCACTCGCTTCCAAAGGGCCCTCACAACATCCAGCTTGTCATATATCAGTTCACCACCAAGTGGTGCAGAACTGAGCATTCTATCCGCCTGCTCATTTCCCAACACACTAACGTGACCTGGAGAAAATATCCAAAGGATGCTAACTACCCTGTGTGGGTATGCCTGGGGTATGTGCATGTGCAGGGCACTGAGAAGAAGCAGTTTCAAAGTTTGCTATAGCTTTTCCTTGAAAGGGGGAAGATGCGAAAATTAGTAGCCTGTTAACGACCTGTATGACACCCAAGCCAGCCCCATCTCCAAGTTGTGCACAGCGGAAAACAAACCGCAAATTTTCAGGTTGGATTTTCCTGGATAAATACTCCTTAATCTGCGATATGCTCAGCAAGCCGGCAGTGGATTAAAACCTTGTTTGAAAGAATAATAAAATAAAAATTGGATTGACACCTACGAATATCCGAGGTGGTAAATGTGAGCATCTACGTAGCACACACAAGGCTGTCTCCCGATGTCTCTCTAAAGCCTGATGCTGAAAGGCAATTCTTTATCTTCTTCTTCCTCTTCTTCATCTTCTTCTTCTTCTTCTTCTTCTTCTTCTTCTTCTTCTTCTTCTTCTTCTTCTTCTTCTTCTTCTTCTTCTTCTTCTTCTTCTTCTTCTTCTTCTTCTTCTTCTTCTTCTTCTTCTTCTTCTTCTTTTTGCATCTTCTCGTCTTCCTCTTTCTAGTTTGGTAACCTATATAATGTCGTTCTAAGAATTTTACCAGGAAGCTCTCAATTCGTATTTTTTACACCAAAAACTAAGATTAAAAAATAATAAACAAACCAAGAGCTGATGAGGATATAACACCGAAACACTACCTTTAGCAGGTCGACGCAGTATCCTTCAAATCTGTCATTGCCGTTGCACGGAGTCCCATCTTTTGGACATCTGATCATTACAAACGGGTTTTCCTGTAACAAAGTTCACACAGTGACAAACGTCGATTTACCAATATAACTTACAATATTTCACTCGGCTTAAGCGTTGTGAATTCTTTACGTCATTCCATTTACCCTGTTAAATTAAGTTGCAGGCGATTTGCAGCAGATCCTTTTGCGCTGATTTCGACAATTGCAGCGATAGCCGACCGTTTCGTAAGCAATGGCAAACTACTTAACGGATACTTTTTTTAAGTAAAAAAAGTCCAGCTCCCGTGAGGACCCGAACCCACGACCTTCCGATCTGCAGGCGAGCGTCTAGCCGCTAGACCACGGCGGCTTCCAAAACTAATATAATTAACATTGTTATTATTTTCATTCGGCCCGAAATAACTCTCCTACCAAATCAGCCACTTCCACTCTACATTAAAAATGCATTAGGGACGAAGCCTTTCTTTCCAAATGTTTTCTTTGCGTCGGCCCCCTCAAACTCGTCATTAACGATGTTAATTGCAAACGGGGTAGGCGATCATGATTTGTGATTCGTTTCGTACAAAGATAGCAAATCAAAAGGTTCGCCAACTTATAAATAATGCCTCGTGATGCCATAACTCTGGGCAGACGATTAAAAAAGGACCTAGAGCAAGAACAAGATTGGAAAAACACATCAGAGAAACTCTACAATAGTTCGACAGCTCCATCGTCGAGTCGACCAGGAAAGCAGGAAGCAAAACCTTACATCTCCCTCGATATTTGAAGAGGGCAAAAGAGAACGTGAAGCAAAAGAAAAAGAAGAAGAAGAAGAAGAAGAAGAAGAAGAAGAAGAAGAAGAAGAAGAAGAAGAAGAAGAAGAAGAAGAAGAAGAAGAAGAAGAAGAAGAAGAGAAGGATTCATGCCTCATCCCATTATTCGGGTTAAGCCATCCGTGTATTTATCTCGTTGTCTATCCCTTGCTCTTTTTTATGGAGTGTGTCAGATGACAACAAGTTTTCAAGTACATTTTTAAAATTATAATTTAACAGAAAAAATAGTGAGTATCTACCTTCATTTCTGATACTCAATTTACAGTTATCCGAGTGGGTTCCGGGAGGGGGGGGGGGGTTACTTGGCCCCACATGGGCGGAGGCGTGGATGCTTCATAACAGGCCTGTCCTAGAAGGGGACTATTAGATTTGAGCAAATCGAATGTGTTAGACTGAAAATCATAGAAACGCAGCCTAATTATAATCCACAAAACAACGTGACAAATGTCGTTTTAAGTAAAAAGACAGGAAAAGAAGTACGAGGAAAAGGCGCCAGAGGAGGGGGAGAGGAACATAAACAAGAAGTTATAAACTGTCATCAACTCGTGCACTTACCAATATTGTAGTAACAACTCGCGTCCTGTTGGCATCAAGGGACAACATCTCCGGCTGAGGATGTGGAAGACTGGTCGCTACCCCAGCCTTCCGTGTCCAGGTGCCGACTTTCCTCAGCGGGGTCCGATACTCCAGGTGCATCAGATCCAGCTGGTAACCCACTCTGACCCCGTTGGCATCTAGAGCTAGGGGCCCGGTAAATCCCGATACAACCGTCTGGGGATGAAAGCCAGAGACATGTTGACAGTGTTTTGCAGGCATCACACTGGCTGGCGAGTCAGCCTAGCTTACGACATCACAACATCTAGCAGGAGAATAGAGGTGGAGGCGGTAACTGCAGCTCTCCTCTGGCTAGAGAACAAGATGCATACACATGTCGTAATTGTAACGGACTCTGAAAACATGATGAAAAAGGTAAAGAGAGGGATGCTCGAGCAGAGTTGGAAACTTCACTGGGAAGGTCACGGGTAGTGAGCATACTTGGATCTTTTCTCCAGGCTATGCCAGTGTAGTGGTTATTGAACAAGTAGACTGACTGGCTGGATCTGCACCACTGGGTGGTGAACATGACAAGGCAAATGTGGTCAAGGCCCTTTCGGAACAAGCAACGGAATCAGTAGAGAAACAAGATTATTAGAGCCTGGAGAGAATGAGGCACCAGAGTGTAACCAGAGGGTCTGGCTGGCTCACTACACTCAGAGGAAAGGTAAAAAAGGACATAAAACCAGACTGTTACCGGAAGCATTAGTATTAGAACTCTGAGCTGACTGCTGAAGATGAGGACAGAGTACGCATAGGAATGCCCCGAGTGCTATGACGTCAATTCTTGACTCAACTCAACTCAACACACTGGCTGGCATTGCTAATTTGTGTCCGTGAAATGCAACTCCTCATACGTTGTTCGGTTCAGTCTACAGAAAGTACATGTATTTGTCTATTTTCTTTTGCAAATACAATGTATGTACCTCTGTGTGTGTGTGTGTGTGTGTGCATGTGTGTGGGTGGTTGTGGATGTGTCAGTGAGTGTGTGAGTGAGTGTGTTACGAAGTGTTTTACTGTATATGTAAAAGTGTGTGTCAGTCAGTCAGTATACTGCGTCTGTGTGTGTTGCCACTATAGGTGTGGGTTGTATCTGTGTGTGTTGCCACTATAGGTGTGTGTTGTATCTGTGTGTGTTGCCACTATAGGTGTGGGTTGTATCTGTGTGTGTTGCCACTATAGGTGTGGGTTGTATCTGTGTGTGTTGCCACTATAGGTGTGTGTTGTATCTGTGTGTGTTGCCACTATAGGTGTGGGTTGTATCTGTGTGTGTTGCCACTATCTGTGTGTGTGCCACTATAGGTGGGGTTGTATCTGTGTGTGTTGCCACTATAGGTGTGGGTTGTATCTGTGTGTGTTGTCACTATAGGTGTGGGTTGTATCTGTGTGTGTTGCCACTATAGGTGTGGGTTGTATCTGTGTGTGTTGACACTATAGGTGTGTGTTGTATCTGTGTGTGTTGCCACTATAGGTGTGTGTTTTATCTGTGTGTTGCCACTATAGGTGTGTGTTGCATCTGTGTATGTTGCCACTATAGGTGTGGGTTGTATTTGTGTGTGTTGCCACTATAGGTGTGTGTTGTATCTGTGTGTGTCTGTCTGTGTTTCTGGTTTAGATATGAGCAATATCGGTCTTTGTGGTGTATGTGTGGGTACGTAAATGTGTGTGTGTGTATGTGTGTGCTGTTTGAGTGTAACCCGTGTTTGTTTGAGCTCGCGTGCGTCTGACTACGACTATATATGTGTGTTTTAATGTATGTGTGACAGTATGAGTTAGTATGCGGTGTTTGTGTGTGTTGTTTTTTGTGTGGGTTTTATCTGTGCCTGTGCGTTTTGTGTACTTGTTATGCTTATGTGTGCGTGAGTGCGACTATGTATGTTTTACTGTATTTATGACAATGTGTGTTAGTATGTGCTGTTTGTGTCAGGTTTGTCACTGTATGAGAATGTCTATGCGTGTGCCTGCTTGTGTGTGTATTGTCTGTGTGTGTGTGTGTGTGTGTCTCTGTGGGTAGTGTCTGCGTTGGTTGTGTCTGTGGGGATTCTGTCTCTGTGTGTGTGTGTTGTATACGTGTTATGCTCGTGTATGTGTGTGTGTGCTGTGTCTGTAGAGTGTTTTATATTTGAGTGTGTCTGTATGTGTGCGCGCCTGTATATGACGCGTCTGTGTCAGTATGCCTGCCTCCGTGCGTATAAGTTTCTGTGGTTCTGACTGGACGCCTGCCTCACTAGAGTGTCTGCGACGTGTTTTTGTATTTTAGCATTTCTATTTGTAGCTTTTCATTTTCCATCCGTGGTTTTGTGTTTTTACAAAATATTTATGATATGAATTTTTATATTTGAACATAAAATGTTTTCTTAATAAAATACCTCGTGCAATTGGGTTTTGAAATACTAAGTTGGAGAGGGCCGAATGTAAGGCAGGCATGTTCACTTAATTAGTGATCCTTTCGAGAAAAAAAGTCCCTTCGTTTCTTTGTTCGTTTATTTACTTGCTTGTTACTTTGGACGTGTTAGTATCACTCCTTGTGACGGCATATTTTTTATTTTAACTCATTTGGGCTGCAACATCAGCTACTTTAAATTAGAACATCTCCGACAGAAGGCATTAGACTCATTACAGGCTGGAACTGGAAATGTTAAACAACCCTTATTCATTATATTGTTAATGTTAAAATGAATAATGATGATGTTGATGATGGTCCTAATAATTGTGGGAAAGGAAGAGTAGGAGGATGACGAGGAGGAGGAGGAATAGAAGACGAAGAAGAAGAAGAAGAAGAAGAAGAAGAAGAAGAAGAAGAAGAAGAAGAAGAAGAAGAAGAAGAAGAAGAAGAAGAAGAAGAAGAAGAAGAAGAAGAAGAAGAAGAAGAAGAAGAAGAAGAAGAAGAAGAAGAAGAAGAAGAAGAAGAAGAAGAAGAAGAAGAAGAAGAAGAAGAAGAAGAAGAAGAAGAAGAAGAAGAAGAAGAAGAAGAAGAAGAAAAAAAAGAAGAAAAAGAAGATGAAATAGAAAGAGGAAAAGAAAAAGAAGAAGAAGAAGAAGAAGAAGAAGAAGAAGAAGAAGAAGAAGAAGAAGAAGAAGAAGAAGAAGAAGAAGAAGAAGAAGAAGAAGAAGAAGAACAACAACAACAACAACAACAACAACAACAACAACAACAACAACAACAACAACAACAACAACAACACGAAAGGGACAATGAAGATGATGATGCACAAAAAGAACAGAAATACTTTGAAAAAATAACTACAGAAACAATAACAGCAACGAGAAACGAGAAGAAGAAGTATAATACCTTCAACAGAGATTCCCTGATCCTGGATCCATACGTCCAGGGAACCGGTGGCTGCCTCCAGCACTTGACCTCCCGACTGCCATTGCCGTAGAAACTGGCACTGGTCAGTGTCCGCAGCACGTTCCGGGAACTGGGAGGTTTCACCAGGTCCGACAAGGCTTGGTGGATCAGCTTGAGGCCGTCGCTAGCTAGTGCTGCGTCTGTCTGAAACCAATGCTGGACTTTACACACGTAGCAAAGGTTAGCTAGTGATACAAGTAGGGGAGAAGGGCGTGATGGACATTTAAGAGCTGACATAGCTAGCTATAGGTGCGAGGATAGCATCGTGAAGTGGATGTGATGGAGTGCACCCGTTGATAGCGATTGAATTTTTTTTTTAAACCGATGCTAGCCTATCTACCAAAATACATAGCAAGCAAATGTTCAAAAGCGATCCAAGGGGTGGGGAGGGGGGGGGGGGGGGGGGGGTAGGTGTCTAGACATGGACTAACTTCAGTCGGTTACCTTGCTGTTGGTGGGTTTGTCTAAAACCAATGATGGAGTTTACACATTTATAGCAGGGTGTGGCAAGCAAAAGTTAAACATCCATTCAAGTGGGAGGATAACATCAGGAGATAAAGCTTCTGTAATTACTAGTGTTGCGTTTGTCTGAAACCAAAATTTGCAAGAAAGAAGAAGAGGAAGAAGAAGAAGAAGAATGGTAAGAAGAAAATATTGACGATGACGACGATGATAATAATGCAGAAGAGGAGAAAGAAACATCGTGATGATTATGATAAGGATGATGATAATGATGTTGTTGATGATGATGATGCTGTTGATGATGTTCTTAATGATGCTTATGATGTTGATGATAATGTGGATGATGTGGATGATAATGTTGTTGATGACGATGTTGATGATGATTATGTTGATGTTTATGTGAATGATTATTTTGTTGATAATGATGATGATGTTGATGTTGCTGATAATGTTGATGTTGCTGATGACGTTGATAATGCTGAAGGCGATGATGTTGTTATTGTTGTGGACGATGATGATGTGGATGATGTTGGCAATGAAGTTGATGATGATGATGTTGATAAGGATGTTGTTAATAATGACGATGATGTGGATGATGTTGACAATGAAATTAATGATGATGATGATGTGGATGATGTTGACAATAAAGTTGATGATGATGATGTTGCTAAGGATGTTGTTAATGATGAAGATGATGATGTGGATGATGGTGATGTTGTTGTTGGTGGTGATGATGTTGATGAAGATGATGATGATGATGATTCAGCAGTGCTAACATTACAGAAGAATAAACAGGATAATATCAGAAAGACAATGTGATAGGGGAATCTTACACAACCATAAAGAAAGCAGAACCTACGGAAATCCTCATGAATGCCTCGGTGAAGGTCGACTCCATCTTGCTGAACGCCATCTTGTGTATGGGTAACCGGAAGCCAGTCACATTGACCCCGCCGTACAGGAAAGACCGCAGGTCAAGGGAGTCTATGTACTGAAGCACAAAATATATCCGAGTCAAAAGTACACATTTATGCATGTATGAGGCTAGATTGTACGGAAGAGACCTCGTCATATATTATGAAATGTTACATTTATGTTTATGTTTGCATTATTCATTTCTAGTTGTTAACTGCAAAAAAAAAAAAAAAAAAGGCTTATTTCCGTTTTTTCGATTGTCACTTCTTCTTCTTCTTCTTCTTCTTCTTCTTCTTCTTCTTCTTCTTCTTCTTCTTCTTCTTCTTCTTCTTCTTCTTCTTCTTCTTCTTCTTCTTCTTCTTCTTCTTCTTCTTCTTCTTCTTCTTCTTCTTCTTCTTCTTCTACCTTGTTTGTTCGTTCGTTCCTTCTTCCTCTTTCCCTTTTACTTTTCCGTCTTTTTTATCTTCTTTCCTCCTCATTCTTCCTTCCCCATTCTTCCTTCTTTCTTCTTCTTCTTCTTCTTTTTCTTCTTCTTCTTCTTCTTCTTCTTCTTCTTCTTCTTCTTCTTCTTCTTCTTCTTCTTCTTCTTCTTCTTCTTCTTCTTCTTCTTCTTCTTCTTCTTCTTCTTCTTCTTCTTCTTCTTCTTCTTCTTCTTCTTCTTCTTCTTCTTCTTCTTCTTCTTCTTCTTCTTCTTCTTCTTCTATACTTCCTTCCTGTACTTTACTGATGTATTGGTGAAAATTGTAAGGATCGCCTGTGGACTCTGTCTTAGGTGTTACATAAAGTTGGTCTCAATTTTCTAACGGCTGCTTTGTGCCATAGTCCCACCTTGTAGGTGGAGTTTCCCTTTTCCTGTGTCTATTATATTTCTCCATCGTGACTCTCTATTGCATGCAAACGTCTATGGTTCAACACTTGCTGTAGCAGTCTCGCGTACCCTAATATAGCTGCTTAGCAGGTTGAACTGGGTATCTAGGATTTACCCTGTTGATTTGCTGTTCGGGATTCACGTCTTTCACATCCATTGGTGTTCTAACAGCTAGGAACAACGATGAGGGACTGACGATGACGTACGTCCTGTGGTTCTTGACCGTGGTTCTAATAAATGTAAGAGTTCCTTGATTCTCAAGTACTAGAATTCGATAGAGAGCAATTATGATATTTTTTTGTGCGTGGTTGTCGGACGACGGTACGAGAATCGCACAGTGAAAGAGATTGGGGATTCACCACGTTTTTTTTTTTAAATTCATCATTGTGGGTACACTGTAGCCAAAGTTCAATGTGAAGAAGGCACACACGCACACAGATTGAACGATTAGCGAGATGAGAAAGCGTTAAAATGCGAAATGCCGGCGAAAACGTTTAAGAATAAGAAACTAGGAAAGTAGTTGAAGAAACAGAGACCTAGAAAATAGTTTAAAAAGGAGAAGCCAGTATCTACGCCCAGCATTATAAACTGTTCATAGCCAGGTACCATTTGATGGCTGGTAATTCGTGCTAGACAAACGTTTTGATTGCCGGGCTGTCGTTTTAAGTGCCACTCTGATAAAAACTTAATTTTTTTTTTAAGTTGATTATACAGAAAAACTTGTTATTAACTGGGTTATTGCTATTCTGTTTTAGAGGTTAGAGAGACAGAAGGAGAGGCAGAGAGACGGGGAAGACATATAGACAGCGAGATATAAAGAAGATACAAATATAAAAAGAAAGAGTGAGGAATAGACAGAATGGTGTGTGCTTCTGTGTGTATATCAGAGAAATAAATAGACAGAATGGTGTGTGCTTCTGTGTGTATATCAGAGAAATAAATAAAACCTGAATCAGACAGAAAGGAGGATCATAATGAGTGACAAAGGGGAAAAGAGAGAAAATAGTAGAGGGAGAAAAGGGAGAGGGGGGGGGGAGAGATAATATGTGTGATAATGTGTGCATGTTTGTGTGTGTGTGTGGGGGGGGGGGGGAGCGGGGTGTGGGTGTGTCACTGACAACTTGCACTGGCCGCGTACATTTAAGACTATAAGTTTATCAGTCTGCCTTTGTGTCTATTATTTACATGATATAACTGTCCAAACCGCACAGGACTGAATGTTTCATCGGGATGCAAGCCGCTTTTATAGTTTCTTTGCAGGCTGAACATGGTATCTGGGCTCTGACCTCTTGGCTTACCATCCAGACAGAGATTTCGCAATCTCAGGCTTATTAATCTTTCATTTGGGCAGCAACCAGAAAGTTGGGTGGAGGGGCGGTAGGTGGATGCCAAGATGATCCTACTGTGACATTCTAAAAATTCTGCTGCCTCTCGAAAATAATATTTGAGAGAACTCACTTTCACACTGGAAAATAAGATTTAAAAAAAAATTAGATGGTTGTCATCCATGGAACCATCTTTAGGCACAAGGACGATAACTCTTCAATCACAACATTACACAGGTCCATTAGCAAACGACATTAACTTCGCTTAGCCCAGCGGGATTACGTCCCCTGGCGAGCAGAAATTGGTCGGGTTGTTTTTGCAGGTTGCGCGTCCTAGTCTATTCTCAAGAGAATCGAGTTTGCTTCACAATGTCTTCCATTTTATCTGTTGCTCGTTGAATTTAGCGAATTGACGCCTTCTAATTCCCTGTAGGGGTTAAGTTAGAGTGCCACACACAATTTTTTCTTGCACAATGGTTAAACATTTTTTAAATTAAAAACCATCTAAATGATTGCATGCCAGTCCTTTCGATATGGTTTACAATAATGCGAAAACCATTTCATTAATTTGTAATCCCAGATGATTTCATACCACGTTACAAAGATGGTGATGGACAATATTATCGTCTAGCAAATGTTGTGTAAAACATGTTTTTAACCCCCTTCCCCCCCCCCCAACCATCCCATTTTGTTTTAATCAACCCCGCCCCATTAACAAATACAAGACTGGCATTCACAGCATCAATAACATCCTGATGCAGTCACAAACTAGATAGCCAGGTCACTTCGTCCGTTTGCCAGACCATGGTCTCCCAAAAGTAATCTTGTGTGGTTAGACACAGGAAGGCAGACGCTCAAATGTGGATGGAAAAACATAATAACGCTTTAGTGACATCGGAAAGGCATCACTTAAAATTGACCCTTACACTTAGGAGGTTGCCGCACAAAAGGGGATTACAAGGTGAACGTCTATCCAGTAGAGACAGCGAGGCCACAAGTAAAAGGGCAGCTGCAATGCTTAGGCAGGCTAGAAAAGTGCATGTAAGGGGTCCTTCACCCTCAGACGCTGATCCGTGCCCTCATTGTCCTAAATCTTTCCTGGCCCGTGTTAGGCTTATAATTCACATCCGGACTTATAGAACTCAACTATAGTTTCATCACGTATGAAAGAAAGAGTGATCCTCATCACTTATGATGAACGAACAACATATATAGCGGACTGGGAATTCTTTGTTATGATCCTTCTCATGTGGCGTTGGTAATCATACGAGACCACAGCCTTCTGTTCTGTGCACTGACCCATTTCTGGAATATTTCTTCAACGCCATTGTTTCAGAAAGTCTGGTATCTTCTATCTTGGTCTCTCTAGTTTTTCAGTTTTCATAAAAAGACCCCCGTCCTCGTACCTTCACAGCCTCAAACAGATCTCATTCTGACGTAGGTAATTGTTGGTGGATGTGTGCCGCTTACCTTCTCTGGCTGCTACTTAGGAAGTCCTCCCCTCCCCCATACCTTTGAGATAAAAAGATCTCTGTCTGGGTGGAAGACAAACTGCACCTGAAGCTTTTTTTTACCGTCAGACTAGAGACTTTCAATGTTGATGGCATACAAACAGGACCTGAAGCTTTCATACCCTGAGACTATAAGACTAGAGAATATCAATGTTTATGGCAGACAAACTGGACCAGAAGCTTTTATACCGTGAGACTAGAGAATATCAATGTTTATGGCAGACAAACTGGACCAGAAGCTTTTATACCGTGAGACTAGAGAATATCAATGTTTATGGCAGACAAACTGGACCAGAAGCTTTTTTATACCGTGAGACTAGAGAATATCAATGTTGATGGCAGACAAACTGGACCAGAAGCTTTTATACCGTGAGACTAGAGAATATAAATGTTGATGGCAGACAAACTGGATTAGAAGCTTTTATACCGTGAGACTAGAGAATATAAATGTTGATGGCAGACAAACTGGACAAGAAGCTTTTATACCGTGAGACTAGAGAATATCAATGTTTATGGCAGACAAACTGGACCAGAAGCTTTTATACCGTGAGATTAGAGAATATCAATGTTTATGGCAGACAAACAGGATCAGAAAATTTGATGCCGTGAGACTAGAAAATATCAACGTTTAATGGCAGACACACTGGACCAGAAGCTTTTATACCGTGAGACTAGAGAATATCAATGTTGATGGCATACAAACAGGACCTGAAGCTTTACCGTGAGACTATAAGACTAGAGAATATCAATGTTTATGGCAGACAAACTGGACCAGAAGCTTTTATACCGTGAGACTAGAGAATATCAATGTTTATGGCAGACAAACAGGATCAGAAAATTTGATGCCGTGAGACTATAAGACTAGAGAATATCAATGTTTATGGCAGACAAAATGAACCTGATGCTTTCATACCGTGAGACTATAAGACTAGAGAATATCAATGTTTATGGCAGACAAACTGGACCAGAAGCTTTTATACCGTCAGACTATAAAATATAAATGTTTATGGCAGACAAACTGGACCAGAAGCTTTTATACCGTCAGACTATAAAATATAAATGTTCATGGCAGACAAACTGGACCTGATGCTTTCATACCGTGTGACTATGAGGCTAGAGAATATCAATGTTTATGGCAGACTAACTGGAAAAGAAGCTTTCATATCGTGAGACTGGAGAATATCAATGTTGATGGCAGACAAACTGGACCAGAAGATTTTATACCGTGAGACTATAAGACTAGAGAATATCAGTGTTGATCTCAGACAAACGGGACCTTAAGCTTTCATACCGGGAGACAAGAGAACATCAATGTTGATTGCAGATAAACAGGGTTAAGGATGTAGTTATGTCCAGCACTTTTGGCCTCGCTTTTCAACGTTCGTTCTAGATACTCTATTCCGCCTTCAAGAAAGTTATAATTAGGGCACCTGTAACGGCTACACAAGCCAGGTATAACCTGCAGTCACGTGAGGGTAAGGGCAGGATGGGTAATCAGTTCATGGCGTGGGTTGATTTCGTTCCAGAAATCTTCATGTCGCTTTTCATCTGTCCTCTCGTTGTTTCATAACTTGTATGGTTGTAGGAATCTCGACAGCATTCCTATCCTACACTGACCCCTAACAACCTGCACCCTCTTAGGGTTTTGAGGGCAAAGGGAAGTCAAGGGACCTATTCAAAATTAAACACAGCGTACATCGTAGTAGTAGTAGTAGTAGTAGTAGTAGTAGTAGTAGTAGTAGTAGTAGTAGTAGTAGTAGTAGTAGTAGTAGTAGTAGTAGTAGTAGTAGTAGTAGTAGTAGTAGTAGTAGTAGTAGTAGTAGTAGTAGTAGTAGTAGTAGTAGTAGTAGTAGTAGTAGTAGTAGTAGTAGTAGTAGTAGTAGTAGTAATAGTAGTAGTAGTAGTAGTAGTAGTAGTAGTAGTAGTAGTACTAGTAGTAGAAGTAGTAATAGAAGTAGTAGTACATTTTACCCCACTAGGACATCACACAAGCGATAAACACCCGATGACACAAAATGCCAACTTGGGGATGAGTATCACCCGTGGAGAGGTTCGGTAAACCGCGGTACAGCCATTATACCATGTTCATGGCCGGGCTATATTGCGGCCGCTGGCAAGAGCCGGGTGGGGTTTCAAGATAACGAAAAACTGCATCTAAAAAGGCTATGACTAGTTAATGCGTACATCGTTTCTTGTGGTAATTTGTCGTCCCTGCTCGCTGGAAACAATTCTTTACCCATCTAGATTTGCATTCTGTAGGAAAACATCTCAGTGATGAGAATCAAAGAGGTACAAATTTTGGAAACCCTCCTCAACCATACAGCTACATACAGCTACATACCATAATTATACTGGTTCCTGTGGTTCAGCCAGCCTCTAGAAAATAGGTACCAGAGCTAACACTCTGGGGTAAATGGAGGAACGTCGCTGTAGCTTCGGAGTTTCGTGCGGACCGTGACACAGGCGGACAGTTTCTTATCAGCTGTGCGTTCTGGCGGCAGAGCACTTATGGTTTATAATCGTGTGAAATGACGCTGGTTTACATTTCTCAAATTTAACTTTATTTATACTGGGGCACCACAAAACGGTTGACTGACTGACTTTCTACCCCACCAGGACATCACACAAGCGATAAACACCCGATGACACAATGTGCCACCATGTGGGTGAGGATCACCGTGGAGAGGTAACAGAAACCGCGTTCAACCTTTAGGCCATATTTATGGCTGGGCTATATTGCCGCCCCTGGCAGAAGCCAGAGTAGGGCTTCAAAAAACGAAATATTTCATCCTGAAAAGTACGAGAAGTACACCACTACAAAACGGTTAGAAAGCAACATGTAGTCCAGTGTATGAGAGTCAAGATATCGCTTTAACTCCATAGTAGAATTCCAGCTTGCCCGGAAAACAAAATAAAATCCCCGGACTTAAATACTCAACCACCTGTGTTTACGTGGCTTAATTTAGCTTGTAATCCGTCACCGTAGCAACGGTTTTGTCTCAAAACAATAGCTGTTGTCTCAGCTCTGAGACCTGTCTCATAGATTCTGCACTGTTGCCTTTCAGAGTAATGGGCGAGTAATCTGCCAGCAATTATTTGAGAGTTGTTAGG